TTATCCTCCGTTTTACGGTAAAGCTTCAGATACACTGCAACAAACAGCCATACACAACTCATCAACTAACTACTACTTGTTGTTTTTTTTAGAGAGAGGTAGCCTATGACATAGGCTACCACCGCTGGATACTTTCATACACTTCAAATTCGTTCTCACACCCGAGAACGGAGCTGTTGGCGTGGGAGCGGCTTAGGTGTCCGTTAAAACCCCGGTTTACTCTATCTAGAAGATAACACAGGTGTGTCTTAATTATTAGCATCGACCGAGGTCACCGGTGACCAATGAAAAGACGTCAGTGCCAGCGGGAAAATCAAGGTCCCTGGCAGGGTAATAATACAGAGTAAGCATGCATGCAGAAATGCGGGAATAATTGAATGCACAATGCGCTAAATGATCAATACGAATGCCACGGTGCATCTCTCGGACAAAATACGCCTTCAGAGACACACCAACAACAACAAACAACAATACAAACATCAGAGCTCCACATAAATAATAAGGCTTCATACATACATGACATGTGCCCTCACCCAATTCTATGAAGAAGAAGCTGAAATAAATGCGAAAAGCGGAGTGCAGAGAAAGGGGTATATCAAGCCCAGCCAAGCCAGGATGTTCTGGTATACATCTCCACAATTGAGAAATTGTCGACGCCAGTCTCTCCCAGGCGGACCGACCGCGAGAGAGCAGACCGCAGCGGACACAGCAGCAGAGGCGATCTGACCCAAAACCAAACCAAGTGGCCAGACAAGCAAGACAACCAATTCCTGACAGGGACCCCAATCCCCGGGTTTCGATCACCGTGGGCCTTAAAAATATTGCGCAAAGTCTGTTTGAGAATATCGGTGGCAAAAAAAGAAGATTGTTGTGTGATATTTAGGAAACAAAAAATAAAAAAAAGACTACAACAAATTGTGTTCCTCTAGAACGACTGACCACGAGAGGATCGGAGCGGCCGACCGATTGAGACTGAAGCAAGAAGAGGAAAATCGCTGCTCTCCAGGGGGAATCCCAGAATCACAGGTCAGAGCAACAAACCTGTTGAGCATACACACTCTGTCTTTGCTGTTGCTGTGCAAATATTCTCATCCACAGCAAAAGTATAACAGGAGATATATCTTGTTGCGCAGGAGCAGAGGCAGGAGAACCTGGGCGTGCCTAGCTCTTGCGTGGCAGGGTGTGTTGGTTGGAGCAAAAAAATTGAAGAAAAGAGTTTTATTGAGCCGAGGCAGCAGGAGCAGCGGGAAGGGGGTTGTGTGCCACCTGTCGCTGGGACTGAATAGAGTGTCAAGAGACGGGTGACATGGAGACGCATACTTTGTCTCCCGTGGGCGGGGGGGAAACTCACTATGGGGATGCCAGCGGCGGTGCCTTCGGAGAAGCTTCGCGCATGGATGAGCTGAGCAGGATGCTGGGTGACCCTTCTGGACAGGTACCCTCACACGACCCACATGTGTCGAGCGTGATTGTTTTTCGAGATTTTCTGCGTAGAGTCCATCGTCTCCCGAGAGCTTTTTCTTGTCGACGAGGCGCACGCCCGGTGGCGTTAGTCTCTCGCTGGCACACACGTGCGCGTTTCCCCTGCATGCTGGAGATTGTAGTTGGGTTCAATTGGACGACGCAAGCGAACATGATGAATACAGACATTCCCAGGGGCAACGGGCATTATCCCCTTCAATGGTAGAGGCTACTCGAACGACTGCAGTACGAGTTATCTTCGACGAATCATAGCACCGCCACAGGAGTAGGGCATATGTCTTGTCTTCCTGAATCCCCTCTCGTTGGCAAAAGCGGTCGTTGTTGGTGTCGTCCACTCTCTCCAATTCAAACAATGCCATCACGAGTCTGTGCTGTTTTTTTCCGATGTTTGTGTGTGTGCGTGCCCCCCGAAAACCACGTGTTTTCGCGTGGCCGTGTTGAAGTTTGGGTCGTCGACACCCCGCGCTGTCTTGTACCAATGACGACCAGCCTAACGTGGGTTGCTGAGCATGTCTAGTGGGAGGGCGCTCCTCCCCTCCTCTTCTGCTGTGTGCCATGTTGTCGTTGATAGTTCCCGCAGCCGCATCAACACAGCAGCAAAACCGCAGTGACTTGTATTAGCATAAATGAGAGCGATTATTTGCCGTCGGCTCTTCCGTGCAGTGTTGTTGCGTTGCTGCCCGCCCAATTCTGCGGTTTGGGTGCTTGCTTGCTGCACCACGTTTGCTTTGACAGGCAGGACACGCATAGCAGAAGCGTACGGATGGTTTCATGTGCATGTGTGCAAGCTACCGCACATGATTCTTTGGAAATAGCATACATATGCATACAAATCAATGCACATTTTGTTTTCGAACCTCTTTTTGTCCATGTGCCACTCCTCCTTGAGCGCTCTTGAACGAACCGGGAGTCAGGTCAGTCAGCTGTCAACGTCAGTTCGAGGATAAACGCGAGGCCACTTTGCCGCAATGGTATCCAAACCCAGTCCAACATATAGAGTGAGATCTGTGTGCTTCGTTGCTTGATCTGTGTCCCATTCGCCCTGACTGCGGTGGGGATGATGCATACACACAGGAGGACACGCAAGCACGAAACCCTCGCGTGTGGAATGCACCCGCAAATGACCACATGTACCGGACACGACTCGAGTTTGCCGCAACAGATCTTGTACAGCAACCAACTTCCCACCAACCACACCTTCTTCGAAGATTCGCCGTGATTATTTTTTGTTCGTTTTTTCTTCCCCTCCGGTGGGGGGGTGGAGTTGAAAATGATAAAAAATGGACACACAACAGGTAGTTTTCTTTGACGCTATGATTCCATTGCTAATCTGTCTTTGACTCTTTTCTCTGACGGAAATGGACTCGTTGTGTTGTATTTGGAAAAATAAAAAAAAAAAAAGCCTGCTGCGGCGAATCGGGAAACCACCTTGTTGGTCCGCACTTTCGGGTCCACGCAGGGACGTGGGGGAGGCACACCATAGAGAGGAATACGATATGTAGAGGGAAAGAGAGAAAGAAATGAACTGGTGAAAGGTTGTTCCGGGTCGACTTGGCGGGTAATTCGCCAATTCCTCCTTCTCCTGTTGCAAAACAGCGGGCGCGCGCCCTGTAGGCACAGCGTGTTGCAAGAACCATTTGTCGGTAGATAAGTTCGTTGCGTGGTACCGACCGCAATTCGCAGCAGCATCGGGGGAGGGAGGTTGTGTCGGGGTTGCAGGGTCAGGAGCAGCGGCCCGGGGTAGTCCTAGCTAGCCATGGCGATAATTTTGGCTGTTTCGGGCGGCAGTTACACGCCCGGTGGGGTCTGTTCCCCCTGTGCACACCGCTTCGAACTGGCGGTGCGGTAGATGCTCTTTTCTTTCTATTTTCTGTTTTCGAGTGGTTTGTACGCTATTTTTGTTTTGTTTCCCCGCGGCGTCGTACGTGCCGTTTTTTTTAGACCACGGGCTCCCCAATTGTTGTACACGATGGAGCTAATGTGAGAAACACCATCAACAGCAACCACCGCGCGTAATCTGCTGGGCTGTTCAGGTTTGAACGAATGAACCACGTGAAGATTCTCCGCTCCTCCGTCCAGTTAACAGCAGTACTGGTAGTAGAGTACGCTTTTTGTGATTGCACCCACCGCCGACAGCAGGTGTTCGTATCAGGGTGGGTCCTACGTAATTTTTGGGAAAGTCGAATGTCGAACATCGAACAAGCGGATAGTTCGATGTTCGACTTTTTGGGTCCAATGAAATTTTCAAAAATCTATCTTGGTCTTATTTCTTTAGATAAAGATGGATTTGTTGTGTGATATTAAGAAAATATAAAAAATGAAAAAAAGCGTGGAAAAAAATCCCACACACACCCGTTTTTGCTTTCAACAGCCCGCGGGGTCGTTGGACCAGGCCCGGAAAACCCAAGGGCACTCTATTCTCAAAAGGATATAAGTGTCGAAGAACAGGGACGGCGCCACGACGAGGAGCACCAGAAGCAGCCCCACCAGCAAAAACAGCACCGGGGTGAAAAGGTAGCTAGCGCTCGAAGCCGCGGGGTGGAACCCCGGCGTCCCTTGCGGCCTGATGCCCACATGCATTGCTTCGGGACCCTGCCGACTCACACCAACACTGCTGCTGCTGTTTGGCTGTCCAGCAATGCTGTGTGGTTGCGACGGGAAGGAACCCCTGTGTGATTGCCTCTCACCTGGCCCCGCTTGTGCACGCGGGGCCCTGGGATCCAGCGCAAACTCGTCGTCGCTCTGTGCAGACATGGGTATTGCTGTTGCTGACCTGCAGACCTCTCTGTCGTTCTCCCTCTCCCCAGGATTGTGTTTTTTGGTGGTGTGTGTTGAGTGCACGTGCGTCATGCATGCGTGCGGGTTTTCTTTTTTGCCGTCAATTCGGTCCCAATAGTCCACGGGACTACTGTAGGTTAGGTATAGGTTTTCAAGTTTTTGTGGAAAGATGTTAAGAGTTTTAAGCGGAATCGCCCCTGGAAGATCCGGCGTACAGAAACTCGAACCAAACATCTCGTTGGGCTGTTGGACCTTCCTGGCCAATCACATGATTACGCCGCTTGTTCGATGTTGGAGTCCAAAAAACATACGTAGGACCCACCCTCAACTTTTTCTCCTGTAGTATGAATAGTTCCCTGCGCAAAGAAATGCTCTACAGTACTGGGCCAGCTATAGTGCCGGTATGTGCCCGGAGGTAGTATCGGCACTATTGAGGACACCGGCACTAATCAGAATAGTGCCGGTTTCGTCCGGCACTATTGAGGAGATGTTTGATTTCATGCTGTGGCGCTCATGCGTTGCGGGGCTAACAGAGTACGAAATGGATCAAACTTAGTGAAGGTCTATCGTGGGCGTAGGCATCCTTTCTCGCGACAAGTATGGTTCCCCCCTGTCGCACACACAGAGGGCGAGTTGTAAACAATATTTACTTGCATGTTGCACCGTTACTTTCTGCCTGCCTCAGCGCATGAACTGTACTGCACACCCTGAACTGTCGAAACTGCTGTTGACGGCAAGATGCTCGTAAAGCTCCCGTTCGTACGGAGTGGACGTAGCTATATCTCAACCCTAGAGCCCCTCCTTCGATGTTGCAAGATACAAAAATCTAAACAGAAAAGAAACACGACAGGAAGCGCACTGCAAGAAAACAAAAATCAATAATACTGCACTACGGTTGTATCTCCCCCCCAAACTACGTCGCGACACTGGAGTGTCTGCCTGGCGTACCCGCTTCGATGTTGCAAGAAGAAAGATAAAAACTACAAGTACGCGACAGGGAGCGAACCGCAAGAAAAAGAAACAACCATGAACTCTACCTTGCGACAAATCCTCTAATGTCTGTCTGGCGCACCCGCCTAGCGAAATGCGCTGCGACCATCGACATCTTCGCTTTCGGTAGGTAGAACGCCGCGTCTCCGTTGCCTCTGTCCTCTGCTGCCACTTCCAGGGCGCCGAAGTGAAACGACAGTTCTTCGTAACCCGGTGGCGCACGTGGGGCACGGCGCTCGCGCCCCGTGTTCTCACCGCCGCCGCCCTGGTCCTGTTCGTCCTCCTCGTCGTCGCCGCCGGTAGACAAGTTCGTTCCAGCCAGCAGTGCTGTCATGTCTTCCACCGCGTCCAATCGAAGAGCCTCTACCACCTCCTCGTCGTCCTCGATGGTAGCCCACCCCTGAATCGCGGCCACCGCTTCCCCCGCGACCGGCTTTTCCGGGTTCGATGTTGAGTTCTGCCAACAGTTCGCTGATCTCCTCGTCCACGACGCGGGATCCCTGCTTCTGCGCGTCCTGCACGCTCGTGCTCAACGTGTTGACAGTCTCTGCGAGAGCCTTCAGGTCAGGGTCGGCGACGTTGAACCGGGTCTTATCGTGTTGCTTGGTGAGCTCAGCCGCCATCTCCTCCGGAAGCGTCTCGGCTTTGACAAAGCACCTGGCCAGGTAGCGCAGAAATTGTGATGCATCCGTGTTCGGGTGGAGAAGCGATGTTAGACGAACCCAGTGACGAACAACACATGTTCAAACCTCACCTGGCGATGTCTTGGGCGGTGACGCTGGCCCATGCTTTCTGGAGAAGTTCAGCGGCGTCCCGCACGTGTGGTTGGTGCCCTTGCGCTAGCCCCAATGTCCCGGCCTTCATCTTGCGGGCTTTGGCCTGGGCGCGAAGTGTGTCAGCCATCAACATGGTTGATGTCTTCACATCGAGCAGCTCCTTCCCGTAGTTGACCTTCGTCTTGGCGATGACCCCCAAATCCATGGGTTGGTGTACGGCGGTGCACAGCGGAGGGTAGGTTTTGACGGTAACTTGCCCGCGATCATCCACTAGATGACTGTGAGACGAACAGCCGTCCATCAGCAGCAGCACAGGTTCGTGAGTGAAGCGCCGAAGGAACGGGAGGAAGACTTCAAGCCACCACCTGAGGAACGTCGCGGAGTCGGACCACGCGTTGGTCTGCGAGAAGTACTTCAGAGGTGAACCCCCGTTCTTGAAGCAGCGGGGTTCCTTTGCCCTCCCGATGATGGCCATGTCAACCTTCGCAGTGCCGTCGGCATTGCAGCACATGATGGCAGACAGCCGGTCCTTGAAGTGCATGCTCTTTGAGCCCCGCGCCGTCTTCCGATCCTCCGAGGTGGAAAGGTACGTGCGCCTGGGCATGAGCTTCCACTGGAGGCCTGTCTCGTCGACGTTGAAGATGAACCTGGCCGGGTACTTCTCGCAAAGGGCCCTGATTTCCTCCATGCCCTCCTTGATGGCCTCTTTGTCGACGCTACCAGCCTCGCCATGAAGTCTTACGCTCTGGATCTGGTTGCGCTTCACGAAGTTCTTCGCCCACCTCTCGCCGGCCTTGAAGTCCTCCACCCTCTCCCGCACTGCTGCAGAAGTTGCGGTGCCAGCCAGCAGGGTTGCCCTGGCAGAACGGCCGAAGCTTCGAAGGACATCGCGTGTGACGGGCATCTTGGCCTTCCGGGCTTTGTCGAGTAGATCAAGAGCTATCTCATCCACCTGCCGCCAAAAAACGAGTAAACAACGCAGAGAGTGCAAAAGATCGAACGGTTAGTTTCGAACGTAAGCATGCTAACCTACACTGCGCGGCGCGGGCAGGCGAACGAATCGTACCCTGTTACACTAAGCTCACACGTTCGAGTATTGTTGCCAATTGTGCACTCGTGTGAAGTGCACTTGGACAAAAATGCGGCAGGTACAAACAAGAAGCGCTGCCGCGTTGTAGTAATATACTGGTTTAAAATTGATAAGAGGGTGTGTGCGAGAGCACGAGGAACGAATGAACGATGAAAGCGGAGAAAGAAGAAAAACGAGAGACAAAAAAAAGTAAAGAAAAAAGCCGAAAAAGACAACAAACCAACGGAGAAAGAAAGACGAAAAAAAAATTGGACATCCAGCAGCGAACGAACCAGGCTCGACAAAAGAAAGGCCGGCAAAAACAATGGCGGGGGAAATAACCCAACGTCACAGCATTGCATGTAGCGCACCTCCGGAAAATCTCCTTTGCGTGCAATTTTCTGGCTGCCGCAGCCTGCAGCAGTTGCTGTCTCCACCTTCTGCCGGCCAGCGTTCGCGGTCCCAATAAACCGAAGCGAGCACTTGAAGCGGTCTGCAATCTGTGCGTGAGACACCTTCTGATCCAGCATCTTCAGAATATCGAGCTTCTTGTTGCTGTCCAGCCGCGCACGAGAAGCCGTTCCCTTCTTGCTTCCCCCGCTCGTCTGCTTCTGGCGTTTAGATTGTCCCGCCCCAGCACCCTTAGCTGGTGTCCCTTTGCGCTTGCTAGTCCTGGCGACACACGTGCTGCAGATGAGGTGCTGCTCGTTGTCCTCAAACACGCTGCCGCAATTGCCGTGGAGCCGCCCGCCACATCCTCCCTTGCAAGGGTGGCCATGAGGGCGTTGCGGCGTCCTGTCTTGTCGAAGGCACAGTTCTCCTTCCGCACAAGGCATGGTGCGCCTTTGCGTAGAACTCTTCGGGTCTGCAGCAGCACGTGTACCCTCTGTGTTGCGTGTGTCCGCTGTCTTGTGTGTGTGTGTGTGTGTGTGTGTCACCTGGCGTGTGTGTGTGAACCGTCACTATTGCGGGGCGCCGTGGTGCCCAATCGGTACTATTGAGGGCGCTTTCTGTGTCCAGAGATTTTACCGGCACTATACCGGGCATCGGCACTAGTCAATCGGCACTATAGCGGGCCCAGTACTGTATTATATTCTAGTAGCAGAGCCTCGCGGGTGCCGACTATCTATGTTGCTGTTGTTGCAGGAATGGTCCAGGAATGGTCCAGGAACACCTTGGTCTATTTAGGTGGGCGCCGGTAGAACAGGTGCCCTATCTTGTGTGCCAGAAAGTAACTGCTTCTCCCCTTCATCTTGTTTACTGGTCAAGTGTACCTCACGAGATTCTTGTAGGTGCTGCTGTGTGGAGGGATAGGAATGGTTTGTAATGTGGACACAACAACACCGACAACCGGTTGTAACGGTGCGGCTCTCGGCCGCGTTACCAAAGAAAGCCGTGTACGTTTACCCTTCATGAATGTTCACGAGGAACGTTGGATTTATTTTTGCTCCCGAACACGGTAGTCTCAACCTCTGGTTTGACCTTGCCACAAGGCTTGAACACGGAAGGCGCCCGAGTATTTGTGAAGACAACAAAAGTTGTTGCCACTCTCATTGGCGTTGTTAGTAGAAAATGCACGATCCTTCCGATCCATTTTCTGTCATTGTGTTTTGTAGCATACCCGCCGAGACACTGGTGTTTGTTGCTGTATTGTACACGAGCAACGGTTAGAAACTGGCCTGGATATGTGGCTTCAAAATCCCCGCCTAAAGCATGAAGATGTGCCCTTGCCTTGTGGCCAAATCTAGGCACACTCGGACGCATGTACACGCCCCCCAAACACGCACCCATCACCCGTATGCAACGTGCACACGTTTTCCCCGAAGCTCACGATAGACATGCAACAATATCCAATGAACACACCTAGCATACAAGTACCTGTGTGCGACCACGGCTAAGTTGGCGCTGTAACGACATGAGCACGCGCTGGGCAGAGATGGGCACTGCTGTAATTTTCTTGGCACGACACCAACGGCAACACATAAGCAAATCCACATGCCTGCAACTTCATAGCTGACACTTACAGAGTAGCTGGTGGACGATAAATGCGGATGTTTCGGTTCGGAAGAGACAAGCTAGGGTTACGTTGGTAGACGGACGGACGGGTCATCGCACATACTTTGCTCGAGACCTACTGCTGTCGAGCAGAAGAACGAACTGGATTGCTCGTAACAATTCAAGAGGGAGCGAGGAACCACATGCACGTTCGTCGAAGCCTTGGAGCGAGCGTGTGTTATTTGTTACTTCCAAAACGATTCAAGCCCTTCTCATTTCCAAAGCGACCGCCTTTTTCAGAGCTGCGCTTGGTGCATTGGTTAGGGAGCAACTGAGCTGTTGCAGCTTCGAAGTTCGGCCCCCGAAGCGTGCGATGGCGAGCACACCGCTTAACGCCGCGGTTACTAATGGACCTCGCATCGGAGTAATGCAGACCCCCCGCCCCCCCCCTCTTCTTCCCTACGCGGGAACTCACTACAGACCCACATCAGACATTGCGTGAGTAGGGATGTGTGTGTTCGATACCACGAGAGATCACCGCTGTACAGCAGCAGTGTGCAAGAATGTTCCGCGAGGATGAGCATAAACACCGCTCGCTATGATACATACAACACGATGTTGTAAATTTCGGGTGCTTTGTTTTCTTCTGCCGATAGACAACACTCGAAACCGAAGTATCCCGGAGTTTCTTGTCCACCGGTAGAAGTGAGTACTGAGATATGGGGGCGGGGATTCTCTCAGGCCGACGGCGCACATGAGGTCCATCGGGAGGGATGCGGTGTGTGCTTTTACTCTGCCGTGCACGTTGACCATGGCGGACCGATGAACAACGATCTAGAAGTATGCATGCTTTCTTTGGGAATAAATGCACGTGATTTACCTGTTGTTTGATCGTTACGACTGCGCCCGGGATATTTGCCAACCGACGGAACTTGGAATATTTGAACGCCCAGCAGCGATGGAGACATTCGCAATTTGCGAGCGCACAAGGTTTGAGCAGCAGTGGCTAGCAAGCTGGTTGTTGCAATCGCAACGCCTTCAAGACGTCTGAATCATGAAGGCTTAGGTTTCGTCAGGTTGGAGAAGCCGGTGGCAATGTCGAGGGCAAAAGGGCTTGGCTTGGCTTGGCTTGGCTTGGCTTGGCTTGGCTTGGCTTGGCTTGGCTTGGCTTGGGTTGCAGAACATCAGCACGTGAATGAATACGCTGTGCGAGGAAAAAAATGCCTCCGATGAGATTCCTTGACTTGGCGCCATGGAGTGCTCTGATAGCAACACCTTCCTGTACGGACGGTTCAAGCCTCTCTCAAATCTGGCTCTGTTGGCACCGCTCTATCGTCTCGTCTATATCCCGCTCCGCTCTCTCTCTCTCCCCTCTGACAGAGAGAAATCACGAATATTCAAATGCGATCGTAACTACTAGTTGCATCTGTCATTTATATTTAGGTGCGACCGTTCACCAACAGGTTGAGGTTTTTGTCCACGATCTGCTGCATCTTCGCGAGGGTGGGCAGCAGATCGGTGACAGAGGCACTTGTTGGCACGTCGCACCTTAATGGTGGGAGTGCGAGCAGCAAGTATCGAACAGAAATGATGCGGATAGAAGGATAATCAGCTGAACGTCTCGTCCGCCGTGCGTAGGTACAGTAGTACGATCTCTTACATCCCGCCCCCGCAACCTCCATTGGTGCGCTTGGATGTGTTTGGCTGACGTTGCTCCCGCAGCACGTGACTGGGATGAACATTGGGCAAGCAACGGCAGGGGCGGGGGGGGGCATCGCGGCTGGCGGCGGCGACGGCGGCATGGGCGGGGGCGGTGCCGGCACCGGCACCGGCGAACACAGCAGCAGCAGCAGCAGCAGCGGTGTCAAGGCGGAGCCCGCCCTGGGCGCGGTGGCGCTGGAGAGGGTGATGGCTGCCGCTAAGGCTGCCCACGAGGAGCAGCAGCGGTGCGCAGAGGACCAGAGGGCGGTGTGTGACCTCTGCAATGTTCGCAGAGCCGACCTGCGGGGCCCCTGCGGGCACAAGTACCACGCACGTGAGTAACAGTAGTAGTAGTATTAGTAGTAGTAGCAGTAGTAGTAGTAGCAGTAGTAACGGGGGGGGAGGGGACCGCCTACGCAGGATTTTTAGAGTATCTACAATAAGAATACGGAAGGGGCACACAGACCCTATCCCTAACCCTAACACCAAAGCACGGATCGAATACTTTATCCCGTATGTTTGCTTAATCAATTTGCTGAGCAGGGTGGCGCCGTTTCGTCCATGTATACATTGTTTTTTCCATCTGAGTACCCCGTGAGACGATCGTGGCAGCAAGCAGTACGCTTGTAACATGACTCGGCAACCTGGTTTCTCTCGACCACGGCATCTTGTCCCCCTCTGGTGGTGATGGTACCGCTGGTGATGTTCAATACCCCAGCCCTCTGCCCGCGCTCCGCCCCGACTCGAACTCAAGTGGTTTTACATTCTAAACATGGAACACCCAATTCATGTATTTGTCCCAGGCTGCATCTACTCGATGCCCATCGTCCGGTGCCCGGTCTGCGACATGGACTTCGGAAACGACGACGGTCTGTTCATCCTTCCGGTTGAACCCTACTCCGCCACTAACTTCTTCGAGGAGGACGAGCGCAAGGGTGGTGACCGAGAGCACCAATCGAGGTGAACCAAAGAGAAAAAGAACGACGTGCGCGCTTCTACTTGTGGGTGCGATCCCGACTGATAAAATCAATTGCGTGAAATGCGTAAGTACGTATGTTGTGGTATATTCGTACGTCCCTAGTCTACGTGGTGATTGTTCTTCTCCTTGGTTTCGCCGAAAGCTTTTCTTTTGTACGTCTTCCATTTGTGTGTTGCGACAATTGTTTGTGTACTGCTTTGTTCGTTCGCAGGCAGCTTTTCTCATTTTTGCGTCTCCCTTTCTTTTTTTCTTTTTTTTTCGCCGGCAGAACCGGGAGGTGGCACTCGTACGAGACCATGTACGCGCAACGGATCGTGGCGGACTTCGACGCGGGCACCATGCCCCTCAGCGAAGGGACCAAGCTCGGAAACTTCCTGTGCAACATCCTCAATTGCTCGCCATCGTGAGTGCGCTTTCTATTAGCCGTGTACGACCAACGGTACCCCACCAGGAGAAAGGTTTTGCTTGGCGAGAAAGTTGGTGGAGCTAGTTGTGGGAGGAGTCTAGTCTGCTTCGAACAAGTTAGTGCAGCTGTTGGAGCCATTAGCAGGAAGAGTCTAGTCCGCTTTGTCAATTGTGCAGCGCAGTTTTTGAGCCAATTGTAGGAGCAGTCTCATCTGCTTCGGGAAGAATTGTGTGCAGTTCTTGCCTGGTTAATGCAAAAGCCGTACGGGACAAACAAGAGACAGCGCCAAGCGGCTTGCGGCGCAACGGAAGCCCGCTGTTCGGGCAACGTGGTGACGGACTGACCCGTCCCGTGTTCGCAAACCCGTGATGGATGGCGGTTTTCCGCCTGTCGCGTCAAGCGTTCACACAACCGTCATTGGTGGCGGTTTACTTCCTGTGCCTTATCCCGTTTTCACGAACGGTGATGGATGGCGACTTTCCGCCTCTTGCGCAACAAGGGTGGGACACGACCGAGCCTCACCTGGCGATATTTTGCCTCGGACACCTTTCGTGTGAGACCCTCTGTGGCGTTTTATCCTCCTGCCCAATGGCATACTCACCCGCTCTCGTGCGACGGCACGCTTTTGTCCGTTGGTCTGCTCGTCCGACCGCCCACCATTCATTCGCCCAGGCGACTTTCTAAGAAGCTCAAGATCGGGAAAAAGTACTTCCAACGGTGCCCGGGTAGACCAATGGGCGAGGAGCACATCGCCA